GCATATCACTTGTTGAGCCTGGCAGCGGGATGTTGAGCCATCGCTTCTTGAGTCTGGCAGCGGGATGTTGTGGACATAACTTGTTTAGTCTGGTGGTGAGATGTTGAGCATATCACTTGTTTAGTCTTGCGGCGAGATGTTGAGCACATCTCTTGTTGTGTCTGGCGGTGAAATGTTGAGCACATCACTTTTTGAGTCTGCCGGTGTGATGTTGAGCACATCACTTGTTGAGTCTGGCGGCGAGAAGTTGAGCACATCACTTGTTTAGTCTGGTGGCGAGATGTTGAGCACATCATTTGTTTAGTCTGGTGGTGAGATGTTGAGCACATCACTTGTTTAGTCTGGTGGTGAGATGTTGAGCATATCACTTGTTTAGTCTTGCAGCGAGATGTTGAGCACATCACTTGTTAAGTCTGGCAGCGGGATGTTGAGCACATCGCTTGTTGAGTTTTGCGGCGAGATGTTGAGCACATCACTTGTTTAGTCTGGCGGTGAGATGTTGAGCATATCACTTGTTGAGTCTTGCGGCGAGATGTTGAGCACATCACTTGTTGAGTCTGGCAGCGGGATGTTGAGCACATCACTTGTTGAGTCTTGCGGCGAGATGTTGAGCACATCACTTGTTTAGTCTTGCGGTGAGATGTTGAGCATATCACTTGTTGAGTCTGGCAGCGGGATGTTGAGCCATCGCTTGTTGAGTCTGGCAGAGGGATGTTGAGCACATCACTTGTTGAGTCTGGCAGCGGGATGTTATGCACATCACTTGTTGAGTCTGGCGGCGAGATGTTGAGCACATCACTCGTTTAGTCTGGCGGTGAGATGTTGAGCATATCACTTGTTGGGTCTGGCGGTGAAATGTTGAGCACATCACTTGTTGAGTCTGCCGGTGAGATGTTGAGCACATCACCTGTTGAGTCTGGCGGCGAGATGTTGAGCACATCACTTGTTGAGTCTGGCAGCGGGATGTTGAGCACATCACTTGTTGAGTCTTGCGGCGAGATGTTGAGCACATCACTTGTTTAGTCTGGTGGTGAGATGTTGAGCATATCACTTGTTGAGTCTGGCAGCGGGATGTTGAGCCATCGCTTGTTGAGTCTGGCAGCGGGATGTTGAGCACATAACTTGTTTAGTCTGGTGGTGAGATGTTGAGCATATCACTTGTTTAGTCTTGCGGCGAGATGTTGAGCACATCACTTGTTTAGTCTGGCGGTGAGATGTTCAGCACATCACTTGTTGAGTCTGCCGGTAAGATGTCGAGCACATCACTTGTTTAGTCTGGTGGTGAAATGTTGAGCACATCACTTTTTGAGTCTGCCGGTGAGATGTTGAGCACATCACTTGTTTAGTCTGGTGGTGAGATGTTGAGCATATCACTTGTTTAGTCTTGAGGCGAGATGTTGAGCACATCACTTGTTTAGTCTGGCGGTGAGATGTTGAGCATATCACTTGTTCAGTCTTGCGGCGAGATGTTGAGCACATCACTTGTTGAGTCTGGCAGCGGGATGTTGAGCACATCACTTGTTGAGTCTTGCGGCTAGATGTTGAGCACATCACTTGTTGAGTCTGGCAGCGGGATGTTGAGCACATCACTTGTTGAGTCTTGCGGCTAGATGTTGAGCACATCACTTGTTTAGTCTGGCGGTGAGATGTTGAGCACATCACTTGTTGAGTCTGGCAGCGGGATGTTGAGCCATCGCTTGTTGAGTCTGGCAGCGGGATGTTGAGCACATCACTTGTTGAGTCTGGCAGCGGGATGTTGAGCACATCACTTGTTGAGTCTGGCGGCGAGATGTTGAGCACATCACTTGTTTAATCTGGCAGTGAGATGTTGAGCATATCACTTGTTGAGTCTGCCGGTGAGATGTTGAGCACATCACTTGTTGAGTCTGCCGGTGAGATGTTGAGCACATCACTTGTTGAGTCTGGTGGCGAGATGTTGAGCACATCATTTTTTTTAGTCTGGTGGTGAGATGTTGAGCACATCACTTGTTTAGTCTGGTGGTGAGATGTTGAGCATATAACTTGTTTAGTCTTGCGGCGAGATGTTGAGCACATCACTTGTTTAGTCTGGTGGTGAGATGTTGAGCACATCACTTGTTTAGTCTGGTGGTGAGATGTTGAGCACATCACTTGTTGAGTCTGGCAGCGGGATGGTGAGCACATCGCTTGTTGAGTCTTGCGGCGAGATGTTGAGCACATCACTTGTTTAGTCTGGCGGTGAGATGTTGAGCACATCACTTGTTGTGTCTGGCGGTGAAATGTTGAGCACATCACTTGTTTAGTCTGGCGGTGAGATGTTGAGCATATCACTTGTTGAGTCTGGCAGCGGGATGTTGAGCATATCACTTGTTGATTCTGGTGGTGAGATGTTGAGCACATCACTTGTTGAGTCTGGCAGCGGGATGTTGAGCCATCGCTTGTTGAGTCTGGCAGCGGGATGTTGAGCACATCACTTGTTGAGTCTGGCGGTGAGATGTTGAGTCTAGCATCATAAGTCCGATGCGGCCCTGATGTGAAAACACATCAAAAATTACGACAGACTTAAGTACTGAAACAAACATCCGATAAAGCTTGCCCTGTCCTGTCCCAGGTTTATCACATCACACTCAGGGATACCCACGTGACCACTTACACAGATACAGCCGATCGTCAGCCGCTAATTTTCTCAGCGAATATAAAAACAGTTGACTCTAGGGCTTGTAACTCTCCTAGAGTAGTCGTGCTGGCATTCCTGACCCGGATTAAAGACACCAACACCATGAAAAGCCACCAACACCAAGGAGAGCCACACGTTTGTATAGAGAAGAATTAATTCATTCGACCCGATTCTAATCTGCCATTGCCGATCACGGAACATTCTGATTTCTGCCGTCTTCTGACCGCTGATTAAACAAACAGCGGTGACCACTCCTGGCGATTCTACATGGGATACAGAAGAGCTCAGTCAACTCAAAGTTGGTTTTGTCACTTGGCTGTACAAGCTGCGCATTCACAGAAGCAACAGAGAGGGCCAGTTGTTGGCAGTTCGTTGAAAGTAGAATGTAAGCGGCATTGTCTAGGAAAATAATACAGATGTGGTCACTTCCGGGAGTTGCCCAGTCGATCCTAGGGTGATATTTGCTGAAGGCAACACGACTATTAGGTGGATTTTTTTTTAAACTTTTTTTTTTTTTTTTTTGGGGGGGGGGGGGGGGAAGGGGGGGGGGATTTTTAATTAATTGTCTGTTTTCACGCACACCTACACAAGGACACACGGTTATCAAGTAAGCAGGCCGGCCCAATATACCCGTTTCCTACGACTGGACGACATTTCTGGGTTTTAGTCCTACTGGATTAGCATCCCGATCGTGACTCTTTGAGTCAGTGGGTGTCTAACTTTCAGACTGCAATTGTAGAGACTATGGTCACAATGATCATCATCGTATTCTTCTTCTTCGCTTTTTATTCTCCATTCTCGTTGAACGACTTGTCCATTTGTATGACATTGTTATACTGTGTAGTGCTAATAGAATAACTGTACTAGTGGTGGCAGTAGTAGAAGATACCTAGTAGTAATTGCTGTTGTTGTTGCTGTTGCTGTGATTTTAAAAGGCGAATCGAATGAAGGCGATAAAGATCACGTGTAATGAAACACTGGGATCGCTTACAGGATGGCAGTTGAACATCTGCAGTCATGTTTAATAGTTCTCTTATCATCATACAGAAGGTCCTTTGCAGAACGTCGCTCTCAACACGGTCTGCCTCAAAGAAACTGCCTCTCGCCAGCTCTCCCAGCTCGTGCACTTTCATATTCGATGAGTCACTGATATTCTGTGCCTATCTTCGTGTCTTCTACACATTGCTTATAACAAACTGACATGCCTGCATAGATTAAACACCAGAACATCCGCACACGGAACCACTCATCATCATCATTATCATCAGGTGCCTTGCCGACTGGCGTCGGCGATCATGCCTCTCCATAATCTGCGATCTCCTGCAGCATGTATCAGTTCGTGTGCCGATACACCTCCATGCCATGCAACAAGACTGTAAAGCGTCTTCTCTCGTTGTCTTTCCCTATCTCTCCTTCCACATATTTTTCCAGTGGTCACAACATGTTCTATTTTCCCTCTTCTCATAACATGGCCGAAAAATGATGACTGTCTCATTCTGATGTCTGTAATAAGTTGTCTTCGGGCTCCCGCCTCTTTCAAAACCTCTTGGCTGCTCTTTTTGGCTGTCCAAGGTACGGAACGACTAGCCCATGTTAATGTACCAGGTCACTCGAGCCGTCGCTGTTTGTTCTTGAGGGAACTGGATTAGATGCAAATGTGAGCAGGCGCTACAAGCGGCTGGTGGCCATTGGTTGGTTCTCTCGAGAATCTTGTGGAAGATTGGATTTGAAATCTCTAGAATGAGAGCACGCAGTAAAGGTAAAGGGTTATTTTCGGGGATCTTCGTAGCGAAGTGGCCAAGCCGGTAGCCTCGCCCTCTGAAGGTTGCCGGTTCCTTTCACGGCGGCGCCGTTCACTTTACTAGTGCAATGTTTACGAAAATCCCTAGGTATCGTCACCGGGGCTACAGAGGACGTGCTCTGCTCGACACTGTCGGCAGGCAGCTAGCTGTTCTGAGGAGAGAGACTGAGCCAGTGAGCCCGGTGACACAAAGTGCCAATATTCAGATGAGGATCCCAAGAGGAAAGGTTCCAGAAACCCCGTTTCTCTATTTATACAGAAGGACCTGGGTTATATTAGGGTCCCGGCAGCTACCAAGGTTGAGGCTTCAAAATAATGAGGAAAAAAAAACGTCCCACATGGGGACAAGGATTATATAAAGAAACCCCTTTCAATCGTATACAAAGTTATATTGGGGATCCTATGGGTACAAAGTAAGATGCTGTCCATTGTAGAGGATACAGACTATTGTCATGTCTAGATAAAAACTACTTTCATAGTTACTGGGACGGTTACTTAATGTCTATGGTAACCCTATTACACATTGTAAATAATTTGTTTCAGGTATTGACAAAATTTTATCCGACCACATGTCGTCTCCGGACAGTAATCACAACACAAGCGTAGACAGTTCCTCCGGCACAAGTGATACTCCAAGCCACAGTGTAAGAGCACTGTACACAAACAACAACAGTAACAGCCCAGTTGACACCTCGTCTCCTAAGAAATGTAGCGCGGCCTCGGGATCCAGCAGTATAAACCACAGTGGAAGCAGCACGAGAGATGTACACAGGGAAAGTCTGGGCACAAAGTCTCCATTAGATGTACGCTCTTTGGGACTGGAAGATGGTAAGTAAGAGTCAGTAATGGACCCATTTCTATGATGTGTAAGAGAGCTAGTAATGGACCTATTTCCATGATGTGTAAGAGAGTCAGTAATGGAACCATTTCCATGATGTGTAAGAGAGCTAGTAATGGACCTATTTCCATGATGTGTAAGAGAGTCAGTAATGGACCCATTTCTATGGTGTGTAAGAGAGCTAGTAATGGACCTATTTCCATGATGTGTAAGAGTCAGTAATGGAACCATTTCCATGGTGTGTAAGAGAGTCAGTAATGGAACCATTTCCATGGTGTGTAAGAGTGTCAGTAATGTACCCCATTACTATGGTGTGTAAGAGGGTCAGTAATGTACCCATTTCCATGATGTTTAAGAGAGTCAGTAATGGACCTATTTCCATGATGTGTAAGAGAGTCAGTAATGGACCTATTTCCATGATGTGTAAGAGAGTCGGTAATGGAACCATTTCCATGATGTGTAAGAGAGCTAGTAATGGACCTATTTCCATGGTGTGGAAGAGTGTCAGTAATGTACCCCATTTCCATGGTGTGTAAGAGTGTCAGTAATGTACCCATTGTTGGCTAAAACATAGTTCTGATAAGATTCACATTAGTGTGTCTGTTCGAGTTTACTTGATGGCACGGGAACATGCACAAGGCACCAGTAACTGGAAAACCTGAGTCTGTCTGGGTATGCAGAAAACCGTATTTCAGGTCATGGACAAGAAAACCACCTGATACAGTCGTTCAGAATGAAAAGAAACTTACAGGTAAAAAAAAAAAAAAGACAAGAAGAAGTTTCACTACATTTAAATACAAGTCCCTCTTTTCAAAACCACCTTAGAGTGAATAATCGAAGGCAAAGGAGCAAGAGATAGAGAGCGATACACGTGGTAGGATAATATCAAAATATGGACAAACATCAGGGCCCTAACGACTTAAAAGATGTTGATGCCCCATTTCATTATAAACCATAACCATTTGTGTCGGGGAGGAACAATGTGCGATCCATTGCTTGATAGGTAGCAATGGATATTATCATTCCATGTCTTTAATGTTATCAATCCATTGTCTCACAGGGCGGCCTCTTGATTTCACTTTTTATCTAGTCATATGTACCGCCAATGTTGGTAGCTGTTCTGGCTGCCTTCTTACTAGATGACCAAACCATTTGATCTTCTGTTTCTCAGTGAATTTGCTGCATTGTGTTGTTCCTACAGTCTGTCTGATAATATCATTTCTACTTTGTCTCGGATGGTTAATTTAGTGGCTTTCCTCAGGCATCTTATCTCTCAGGTTTTATTTTAGGTAAGTTAGTCTTTAATGTCCAAGTCTGGCACTGGTAGCACTGTGCTGGTAAGAACATGCTGTTTACAATTTTTTTAACGTGAATTTAGATGTCTTAATAACAGCGTCATTTGGTAAATAAGTGCACTGGCTGGTTGTCATCTTGTTTCTACTTACCCATATATTCTCCCGTCCTGCGAGAATATATTTCCTATATATTTAGATTCTTCAAGTTGCTTCAAACATGTACCATTGAACCGGATGTGTAGCAGACTTGGAATTCTGTTAACCTGCATGACTTTAGTTTTAGTAGTTTTTATTTTCATGTCATATCTTCTGTATGTTGATCTTAGCCTGTTCAAATGTTCTTGCAGTCTACTCCCTTTATTGTAGAACAGGCCAACGTCTTCTCCAATTTATATTGAGCAGGCACCGATCGTCTGCAAATGTTAGCTCCATTATTGTGTGTGGATATCATTCCGTCAAGGTAAAATCCCTTATTTTCTGGATTTTATGGGTCGACTGTTGTAAAGGTGTCTTCTTTTGATGCAGACAATAAATAAGAGAAGGGAAGCACACATGCCTACCTCATCCCTGGACTGACTGTAAACATGTCAGATATGCCCTCTTGTGCCTCTTATAGCTGTGGCTAAAAATGAAACCTTGGGAAAACGCAAAATGGTTTTTCATGTCCAGAAAGGTTAAAAAGCATCCAGTAGGCTGTACATCGTAATGTACCTAAGAACAAAACTTAACTGATAAATAATTGATAGATTAGAGCTCAGTCAACTTATTAACAAAAATAACAGAAAAATGTTACTTCCTCAACAATGAGAGCATGGACTTGTTATGTTGAGTGAGTTCCTCACAAGTGGTTTTTGTCAGGCAAGAAGGATTTGCTTTGCCAGAATTATCAAATTTCGAAATGTAGCCTGCTAAAAATGGATCACACTGGCTATGAAAACGTCCAGCGTTGCCTCTTTCGCTTCTTGATGCCCTAAGCACGTGCTCAATGTGCTTAGTGAATAAACCGACCTGGCGATCAACAGCCTTTCAAATAAGGCAAGAGACAGCTCGTGCTAAAGAATCATTACAACCAATCTTATTCTGAGGTCAGTTGAGATGTTCTTATCCATATTATTTACGGATTTTATTTATTGTTTTAAATTATTATTCCCCAGGATTGGCGATATACCAAACAAACTTTGCAGGAACAGTGCATACCGGGGTTTTCTGCACCAAAACAGTCATTTCCAGAGGCGCACGGTTCGGACCTTTCAAAGGGAAAATTGTGCGACCCAGCGAGTCGAAATCAAGGGACGATAACAGCTGTATGTGGGAGGTACGTTGACAATAAAGGCAGTAACACATGAAGACAAAGCCATAAGTTGACCGGCACCACCAGCATCATCATCATCATCATCGTCATCATCACCATCATCATTATCGTGGAGCAGGTCCTTTAGAGAAAGCCGATTCCATCACAAAATGCGTGGGGAGGGGAAGGGGGAACTTTACTCTCGCACCTCATATGTTTTTCTGCACAAGATGCCTCTTTTGTCCTCTGCCCATCTTCGAGCTGGTTGAAACCCTGCCCCACATATATTTTTCTGCAGAAGATGTCTCTTTTGTCATCTGCCCATCTTCGAGCTAGTCGAACCCTGCCCCTCATATATTTGTATGCAGAAGATGCCTCTTTTGTCCTCTGCCCATCTTCGAGCTGGTCGAACCCTGCCCCTCTTGTCCGGTACCTGCCTCCTGCTGCTGTTCTGTCCAACCCATCGTGAGTTTATGGCCAAAGTGTTTCAGTTTCAGTGAAAACATGTAATCATTTTCACTGTGTAAAAGTGCACTGGTCAGGAAAGCACACAGGGCTGAAGAAATGGCTAGAGAAAGAGAGACTTCACGCGTGCCGTAAGGAGAACGACTTTTGAAGAAAGAGTGCTTTTGTTTGAGCATGCGCTCCTTAACGTAGGAGTCGGCTCATTGGGAACATACTTCGAAGTCGGAGTACATCTGCTTGAGAGGCAAGTAACCAAGAGTCTGCATACTAAGAAGCCATATGTGCAGGCGACACTCAGGTTCTGGAACAAGACTAAAGTCTGGAGGTTGACAAAAACCCAGAAGTTTCCTCCAGAGTCTACAGGCGGTGAACTTGAAGAAAAGGACGAAATACAAGGGGAGGTAACGATCTTCCAGAAATCTCACGCTCTAACTGTCGACGCTTTGTCTTACCTGTGCAGGTTTTGTTAGTCACACTCGCCAGCGCCATGGGCTGTAACTCCAGTATCACCTTACTGCACAAACACATATTATAGCCTGGAATGAAGGAAAGGTGCCAAAATTAAAACGGTCTATACCCCTACCCACACAGAACGTGAGAGTACAGAAAAGAGGCGCGGGCTTTTGAATAGGATCAAAAAGTTGGATCGGTCATTAAACAGTAAACAAAACGAACCACTAGCAAACTGAAAAGACGGGTGGTCTCTGTTGGCTTGGAGTCTAATATATGGCTTCACAATCGCTAAGAGGCAGAGTAAAGAAAAATCAGTTAGTATAGCCGTTAGTGGTATCCTAATTATAACTTCTTTATGTGTTGAACGAACTGTATGGGATTCGTCCTGTTAGTTTGACATCTAGAATGCGACACTTTGAGTCTCAGGGATGTTCAACCTGCAGAAGGCGACCTGAAGGGGAAACAAGAACAGTCACTCTGTGATATTTTTGAAAAATTCAAACGATTGATAAATACGCAATATTTTCTTTCACTGATTCGTTAAAATGACATTAAGTCTTTCCGGTTTCTGTTCGCTTTTGGAATGAATGCGCTGCCCTGTTGCCTTCAATCAGCAGCTATACTGACCATGCTAGTTATCGATCAAGGCCAACAACATGACAACAATAACAAAGAAAGGAGATCCATTGTCTGCCGTCGATGGATTAAGCATGTCTTCATTGGCTTGCACCCTACAACAACACATGTGGCACTTGTGTCATGAGAGAACCTTTTTTTTAAACTCCAAGAGCACACGGAGATGATGATGTTAGACTTACATGTAAACAGACCAAGAGAACACGGAGATGATGATGTTGGACTTACATGTGTATAGACCAACAGCTCTAGTTGGCTGATGTGCTCAATATTGCCCCGCCCCTGTACTTCCATAGACACATTACAGGTCATGCCCCCCCCCCCCCCCCCAGTTTGAGTTTGGAGCCAAGATACAGTAACAAAAAAAAAATTATCAGTCTCAATGCGTTTTGAACCCTAGACTTTCAGACTGGCAGGCGAACTGATCGGCTTCGGCGGCTCCCACCTCGAGTATATAATACATATATATTTAGAATCATTGAACGAGTTTAGTGTTGTGGACTGCAGATACAGTAAACGGCATGTGGCGTGTTGCCACAGAACCTGTGGTACCTTACGTGATTAGTGATCTGTTGTATTTGTGCTTCAGTCTATGACGAACTCTGTTTCCGACGTCGGACTGTTTGTGTTTGCACTTCTGATGGCTACATTATGAATTTAATGTTATGTATGCTATTACGTTAACTGGGAATACAGTCTGTATCAATTTTTCCACAAGTGATAGTCGCTGACACTCCGAGTAGTTTCTGTGGCACCGGAGCTCAGTCACAATGGGGGTGACCTATTCGTTATGAAGCTGTAACTCCCGTTACCCGAACAGAATTTCGCCATTCATAACTTCACATCACTGATTTATCTTTATGTTTTCCAGATTTTTCAAGATGGGAAGTTAAACCATTTTATTGATGGACACAGTTGCAGCGGTAACTGGATGGCGTATGTGAACTGTGCCAGATATGCGCAAGAACAGAATCTCATTGCCATGCAGGTAAGCAGTACAAGGGCATGCTGACTGCATGCAGAAGTAACTGTACCTGGGGGCTAAGACACCTGAAGCCATCTCTTCGATGTTTTCTTTGTGTTCAGCGTCCCTGATTGCAGCGATGCATGCAACACGCATCCGTAGAATACACACGAGGCCTTGATCGTGTCGACATGTTTAGATTAGACATATTAATATCGAGACAGAGGCATACGCAGATTTTCTAATATTACCGACGTCAGTTTTACACTTGATGTACATAGTAGTATGTTTTGGGACAAGTACATCATTGTAAGTGTCTAGGCACATGTTTTGGGACAAGTACATCATTGTAAGTGTCTAGGCACATGTTTTGGGACAAGTACATCATTGTAAGTGTCTAGGCACATTGTTTGGGACAAGTACATCATTATAAGTGTCTAGGCACATGGTTTGGGACAAGTACATCATTATAAGTGTCTAGGCACATGGTTTGAATTAGAACTGAAATGTTATCACAGAGATAAAGAATAGAATAGGACAGACAAGCACTGCATTTTATACAATAAATCCATGTCACTACGAGTAAGAAACAAAACCAACAACAGAATGTGTGCGTGCTGTATAGAGCCAGATTTAACAAATGGTTATCAATCCTGCACCACCAATAAACAAGCCAAACTAATTCTTGAGACCTCAGTGATGCGATTTGAAAACACCACTGTTGTAAACACCACTGTTGTAAACACCACTGTTGTAAACACCACAGTTGTAAACACCACTGTTGTAAACACCGCGGTTGTAAACGTCACTGTTGTAAACACCACTGTTGTAAACACCACTGTTGTAAACATCACTGTTGTAAACGTCACTGTTGTAAACACCACTGTTGTAAACACCACTGTTGTAAACACCACTGTTGTAAACGTCACTGTTGTAAACACCACTGTTGTAAACACCACTGTTGTAAACACCACTGTTGTAAACACCACTGTTGTAAACATCACTGTTGTAAACGTCACTGTTGTAAACACCGCGGTTGTAAACACCACTGTTGTAAACACCACTATTGTAAACGTCACTGTTGTAAACACCACTGTTGTAAACACCGCGGTTGTAAACGTCACTGTTGTAAACACCACTGTTGTAATCGCCACTATTGTAAACGTCACTGTTGTAAACACCACTGTTGTAAACACCGCGGTTGTAAACGTCACTGTTGTAAACACCACTGTTGTAATCGCCACTATTGTAAACGTCACTGTTGTAAACATCACTGTTGTAAACACCGCGGTTGTAAACGTCACTGTTGTAAACACCACTGTTGTAATCGCCACTATTGTAAACGTCACTGTTGTAAACACCACAGTTGTAAACACCACAGTTGTAAACGCCACTATTGTAAACGCCACTTTTGTAAACGCCACTTTTGTTAACGCCACTGTTGTAAACACCACTGTTTCAGGTTGAAGGAGAGATCTGGTATGAAGCCTGCAAGGACATCCCCCAGGGAACCGAGCTCTTGGTCTGGTACGGCGATTGCTACCTGCAGTTCATGGGCGTGCCCGTCGCCTTGAAGGAGATGGCGGACGGCGGGGCGCAGGAGGAAGTCAACAGTAAGTGCTTTCCTTGGATTTTTGTCTTCTTATGTTTCTTCAACATTTCCAGCGTTTGGGTTTATAGGTGCAGAGATTACTCCCCCCCCCCCCCCCCCCCCAATCCCCCCCCCCCCCCCCCCCCCCACCAATCCATTCATCTCTCTGATTGGCCTTCTGTTTCCACTTGGTGACTCCAAGTATTTGTTTGTCGCCTATTATTCTCTTCTTGGTCTGCCTTGTCTATACCAACACATTCAATTCTTGTATGTACCAGATTTGGTTTATCTGTTACCAGTGAATAGCCAAAGTGTTCCAGAAATGAAAATAACTAATCCAAGCAGCTAATTTTGGTGTGCTGAAAACCACAATAACATTACAGAGCGTTGACAGGTTCTAGTGCTCAAGAAATATGATATGTTTATTTCATTAAGGCCAATATATATATATTTATGGGTGTGGCCGTGGCGGAACGGCTAGACGCTTACCGCGGATCGCAAAGTTGTGCGTTCGCTCCCTGGCAGAGCCGGGCTTTTTTTCAAAACAATGACCTTGACTCACAGGTGGACCCAGCCTTGAGTGGGTGGCGGGTGCAGTCCCAGACCACATTACCCATCTTGTGCCGATTGATCTATAAAATATAGGTCTAGCCCTGTGTGCCCTATATGCCTAAAGGCGTGGCAAAGAGTCCTCTACTACATTTTTACTTTATTTACTAATATATATGTAAATACACACACACACACACACATATATATATATATATATATATATATATATATATATATATATATATATATATAACATATATATATATATATATATATTTATTGCAACTGTTGTATGCGATTGTATTTTTTTCTGACAATTACAAATGTAACTAGAAGTTGGTGATGCAGTCCTAGCCATGATTACACTACCTTTACGTACAAATATCTTATCTCTGATTATATTTTGCCCTTTGGAGAGACCCCACTGATCACCTCAAAGACGGTTACTTTTGCATTGTTCCACCAGTTGGGATGACATATTAAAGAAGAACAGTTTGATTGGAAGATCCAAACATCCACTTGGCAATAGATCCAGTAGCACAAGGTGATGACCTACTAGTTCCCAAAGCGCTAGAATTATGTTCACCAGCTTCCTGTATTGGTGGTTCTGAACCATAACATCAAGCGACGCAGATTTTGAAGAAATTAGACCAGCTAAATCACACATATCAATCCAAAGTAAATGAATGATCTTGTAAGAGATCGGAGTTTACCGAGGAACAAGGCAGAGCTTGTGAGTTGCAGATGACAACAGTAGAATCTCCTGCCAGATGATGTCAGAATGTATGTTTCTAGGAACCGCCAGATGCTGCTAATTACATTATTTGTCAAAGATGGGGATCTTTTTGTGTGCCACAATATGTATGCTTTAATGACATCCCTGAGAATCAAGTACAGACCAGCAAAAGTGGAGGCTTTTCGTTGATTCGTCCAGGAAGAGTCTTAAAGATGTTTGTTGATTGATACTGAATTTACCTTCAGTTCCAGTTGGAACTCACGCATTTGTTCCTTCATTCACAAATCGATCGCCAAGAGTACAGGATGTTCAGTGTCCAATGTTTTACAGTGAGCTCCGCTAAGGATAATCACAAAGCCCTGCGTTGAATGTACAGCTCTCCATATTGCACTGTTTGTTTCAAGTTTGCGACTTTCTGTTCAGCTAGTGAGGGCTTCAGCTGTGAGAGGTGCGGCAAGGTGTTTGCCTACAAGTACTACAGAGACAAGCACCTCAAGTACACCAGGTGTGTCGATCAAGGTGACCGCAAGTACCCGTGCCACCTGTGTACCAGGTAATTGTCTCTGTAATCGTTGTTGTTACTTGTCCATGTCACTGGTTCCCATTTGGTGGTCCACTGACCCCATTTTTTAGGCAGAAGCCTGATATCATTTACTCAAAAGAAAATAAACAGGGGTGCCTGAAGGTCATAGCTTTTTGAGAACCACAAGTATACTTGGCATAACTTACTGGTGAATTCAGTCACTCAGTCAATCAGTCAGTCAGTCAATCAGTCAGTCAGTCAGTCAATCAAGCAGGTGCCGTCTACCCAGTGAAGGTTGGTTGCAATGGATCTCTGACTCTCCTATGTCTTTATTGTGAACTATCTCAGACTACTGAAGTCCTTCTCAATGTTGTCCTCTCACTTGTATCGTTGTCTACCTCTTGTTCTCCATACCTCGACTTTTCCTTCCAGTATGTTTTTTTAAAAATTAAAGCGTCTTGTGTAGCGTTTTATGCCTTTAAATGTGACTTGTGAAGGGATGTTGTTACACGTCTCCTCTTCATCTACTTGTAACAAATCCTCTGCCAGTAAGTAAGCAAAAGTAAAGGTCCCTTTTCCATGCCTTAAGGCGTATAGGGCATATAGGGCTAGACCTATATTTTTATAGACCAATCGGCACAAGATGGGTGTTGTGGTCAGCATCACACCGGCCGCCTTTACTTCCCGCTGCACCCGGTACTCACTTAATGCTGGGTCGACATGGCAGTCAAAGTCATTTTCGAAAAAAATACGGTTTCGCCAAGGAGCGAACCGACCACCTTCCGATCCGCACGCGAGCTTCTAGCCGCAAAGCCACAGCGACTCCCTATTCCCATTTCCTAAGCTAGCGTGTGCGACAATTTCTTTGCCTGGATGGTGGTGTGTTCATTGTTAATGTATTGTTAATAGTCTTTAATGGTCTTAGTGGTTTCTGTATTCTCAATACACCCTCCCTCTCTCTATTTCTCTCTCTTTCTCTGTCTCTCTGTAATTTGTATATGCCCCCCCCCCCTCATTATTATTTAAATAATGACTGCCAGAAGATTGTAGAAGTGCTTCTTAACTGCATCAGGACTGGGTGTTTGTGATTACACTCATTTTGATGTAAGTTCATGGTCGAGGTCGTCGGACCGCACCGGGCGCATCGTAATGGTCAACGAAGCAACAATGCCATTTCTAGCGTTAAGTACAAACTTCGATGCCAGAATCATGACTGTGATGCCAAAGTCCTTTTTACATGCGCACACTCATGCCAGGGTGGACAGTTCAGTCCCTTATGCCAGTACGTCGATCTAGCTTACCAGAATAAATTAAAATTAGGTGCTGAAGTCGGGTGCAACCATTCAGGAGGCGCACCATAAACATCCGGATGCCACGCACAAACGCTAAAGGAAATTTACCCATACCTGTGAATAGATCTAGATGGGAAATCATGCACTGAAACACGGAGGGAGTTAAACGTAAAAAATTAGAACTAGAAAACACTTTGAATAAAGAACAGATACATGTATGCTGCCTTCAGGAGACCTACCTGAAACAAGACATAGCCTTTAAGATCATAGACTACCAATGTTACTGATCTGATTGGAAAGACAGAAGGAATGATGGAATGCTAACCCTAGTCAAAGAAAAAATATCTGCACGCCAGACTGAAACATACATGGAAGTACCAAATTCTTAAGCTCACGACAGAAAACAGATTTCCAACTAAACACCTATTACTGTCCAAGTGACCACCCTCAGGCACTCGATACAGTAGTAGTAAATAATAGAATGACTGTGTGTGGAGATTTCAACAGTCATTCGGAAAGCTGGGGCTATGATCACATGAATTAGAGGGTAGAGAAACTGGGGGATTGGCAGGATAAAAACAGATTCATCCTCATAAGTAAGCCAACCAACCCACCAACCTCAAGAGCATGACATTTCCCTTCTACGCCAGACCCGGCCTTTCATTCACCAGACATGGAATGGGATGTTACTAAAACTGTCAGGAAACAACTAGGAGGTAGTGATCACCGCCCAGTCTTGTTAACGATAGAAAACCACTCTGTAAGAAAGAGCAGCACTCTACCAAGATGAAGTTACATGAAGGCAGACTGGAAATTGTATCGGCACCTTACAAGTGTTTTGGTTAAAAATAGTAAAACTGATAACAATGCAGACAAAAAAGTAGAAGGGTTCAGCAAATGTATATTGAAGGCAACCCTGGAAGCAAAACCAAGACGTAAATAATATAAACCATACTGGAATTGTGACTTAGAACAATTTCACACTGATATGGAAACCGAAAGAAAGAGAGCTGAAATAACACCTTGTCAATAGCTGTTCAACAAATACCAACAGGCAAGGGCCACATTTCAAAGAGCCAAGCTGCAGGCTAGAAGGGCATATTGGTAAGAAAAAACAAAGTCTCTAAACTCTGAAAGAGACACAAGGAAGATGTGGAGGCTGGTAAAACAAATTAATGACGAGATTACAGGCTGAAAAGCAAATACTGCAATATATTCTGAAAGAGCCATCCTAACATTCCTGTGGTACTGGAAGCATCACTTACTTTTAGTGAATAAGTTGGCATTATCGAAGCTGAAAATGGGAAAGACGCCTGGAATTGATGGAATAACCAACGAAATGATCAAGACCTGGGGACACCAGCCAAAACAAAACTGCTGGAGATTTTTAATAATTGTTGGGGGAGTGGCAAAGTTCCCCAGATGTGGAAAGAAGCAATCATGATATATCTTCTAAAACCAGGAAAAGACAGCAACAATGCCTCCAGTTATAGACCAATCAGCCTTACCAGCTGTCTCTATAAAACAATGGAACGCATTGTCAAACTTAGACTTCAAAGGTACATGGAAAGTGAAAACATCTTCACGCCGCGGCAATCAAGCTTTAGACAGTGCTACTCCACAGAAGACCAGACAACTTACCTCTCTCAAGAAACTGAAGATGCCTTCCAAGAAAAGTAACTAGTGCTTGTATCATGGATAGATTTGAAGAAAGCTTTTGACAAGGTCTGGAAAGAAGGTCTCATGAAGAAACTGAGAAACTACAAAGTGAATGGGAATGTGTACAGGTAGGTGAAATCATACTTGTATAACAGAAAAGCCCGAGTACAGATAGACGGACTCAAGAGCAAGAAAGTCTACACGGTGTTCGCCAAGGTGGGATCCTGTCCCCAACTCTGTTTCTGATCTATATCAACAACCTATTTGGCGAACTTCCCCATTGTATTAAAGCTGCGATGTATGCTGATGACTTTGTACCCTGGTGCATAAATAAATATGCAACAGTGGCCACTCGACTGCTACAAAGATCCATAGATGCAATGGCTGCATGGGCTGATAAATGGTGTGTCAGCATCAACATAGACAAGTGTAGCACCACTCTTTTCACCCTCTCCCGAAAGAAATCAGGCGACATTCAGATAAAACAAATGCCACTAAGAGAGTATAAGAAGCCCACATACCTCGGAGTCACGTTTGATGATTAGGTTAACATTGGAGAAAACACATTAACAAGGCAGCAACCAAAACCAGAAGAAAGATAGTTAAGAAAACTAAGTGGAACAACATGGGGCGCAAATGGGAAAACACTTAGGAAAGTATATCAACAAAGTGTACGTCCACAACTTAAACGCGGGTCTATTGCATGGCGTTCAGCATAAAAAACCACAGAACAAAAGTTAGATAAGGTACAAAATCAAGCTCTTGGAGTCATAATAGGCTGGATGAAATCAACACCTATAGCTGTGATGGAGAAGATGGTGACAGAACGACAAAACGAAGAGACACTAGGGTACTAATACAAGCAGAAAAGTTTCTTAGCATTCCTGAACACCCTACGAAAGATAGATTCCAAAATCTAGCAATGGGGCAACTAAAAAAAGGGGGATTTCATCCCCCAGGCCAAACGACTCTGCAGACAAACCAATGATCTGCCTGCAACTGATAGCCTTTAAATGCTATTCCAGATCAGCCCCTTCAGAAAGAGGATTATAAGTTGCCAATACACATCCAGACAGTAGTGAAAGGAGTATTTGACAAAGAAGAACAAAACAGTGTGCAATATAAAACGGCCACTTTCGCTCTGCTTGATGACGAATACCCGCATAATCTTTGGGTTGTAAAACACAAGCAGAAATGGAGGAGCATGAGTGTATATTGAGCATCCAAATAATATTAGATATACAGCCAAAATACCTACAGGAAAGCACTGTCACAACTATGATGCAGAAGTTTAAGTTATCAAAATAGCAGCAGAGAAACAGTTACATGTACGTCATATTTTACAACCCATGGCATTTCTGACAGATGCAGGAGCAGTGCTTCAGGCACTCCAATCTGGAAAACGACCTAGTATACGAACACTACTCTCCAAATTAGGCAGTCAGTGTAAGGTAACTATGCAATGGATACCATCCCACTGTGGAGTTTCCGGAAATGAAAGAGCTGATAAACTAGCTAAGGAAGGTGCTAATGAAGAACAACCTGGCGTACCAGTCTCTTATCAGCAAAAGAAGAGAATAATCAGATCAATCGGAAAACCACCAAAACTGGCACAAGACGATTACCATTTTATGGACCAACAAGAGCAAATTATTATTCTACAACTTAGAACAGGACATATTCGACTTCGCAGCAACATGTACACAACATTTAAAATCGGCGAAGCAGCTATATGCACGAGTGGATAGTACCTGAAACAACAGATCATGTGCTCAAAGACTGTCCCAAATACGACATATCAAGGCAAAACTTTTGGCCAAGAGAAACATCGGTGCAAGTCAAACTTTACGGATCGCTGAGTGAATTACACAAGACAGTGAAGTTTATACTAGAGACAACATTGCAGATATGGATAATTTATTTCAAGCGAACGAAAGAAGACCAAAATTTTTTTTTTTGTTTTGTTTATGTCTGACTATGCCCATGTGTCTTATCTATGCCTCCCCCCTCGCCTCTCTCCCACCGCATTCTTTTGGTTTCAACCTCTTTATGTGTTTCTTAGTATGCTCTTTTATCTCTCTGTCTTACTGTCTTTACGTAAATGTGAACCCTTTCTCTCTTGTTTTCTTTCTCTCTCTCGCGCGCTCTCTCTCTCTCTCTCTCTCTCTCTCTCTCTTTTTGTGTGTATATTTGTGTGTGTGTGTATGTGTGTGTGTGTGTGGTCTGTCAGATTTTTACTGGCCGTATATTTAAACGTGTATCGTAGCTTCACTTGCTTGACAGTACTTTGGGATGAGAACAACGCATGGAAGGTGCTCACTCTCTTGCGCCCAAACACATTTCCGCGCACTGTGGGTGTAAGTACTAGACACGGCAAATTCAATTGCAGAAAACTATTTTTTTTTTTCAAAAGAAGGCACTTTAAGTATGCGTTTTCTTGTTAAAATCACTATGTGCCTGTTCCTAATATCTACAGATCTTTGTATAATCACTATTTGTCTGTTCCTAATCTCTACAGATCTTTCGAGAAGAGGGACCGCCTCCGCATCCACATACTACATGTACACGAGAAGCATCGGCCTCACAAGTGTCTGGTCTGTGCCAAAAGTTTTAGCCAGTCGTCGAGTCTCAATAAACATATGAGGGTAAGTATCAAAGTCATTATCACCAATGTCACCACAACCACCACCACCATCATCATCAATAACACCACCACCAACATCATCAATACCACCACAACCACTATCATCAATATCACCGCAAACACGATCGTCGTCATCAATACCACCGCAACCACCATCATCATCATCAATATCACCACAACCACCATAACTATCATCAGCAATACCACCACAACCACCACTGTCATCATCATCAATACCACCGCAACCACCATCATCATCATCAATATCACAACAACCACCACCATCATCATCATCATTAATATCACCATAACCACCACCCCCATCATCAATACTACCACAACCACCATCATCATCAATACCACCACAACAATCATCAATTCCAACAATGCCACCAACATCATTACTACCAAGAGATTACTATTATCATCAATACCACCACCACTATCATCATTAATACCACCACAACCATCATCAATACCACTATAAACGCTACCACAATCATCAATACCACCACAACCACCACCAGCAAAATCATCAATACCAGTACAACCACCATCACAATCATTAAAACCACCACAACCACGGCCACAATCAACAATACCACCACATCTACCACCAAAATACTCAAAACCACCACAACCACTACTACAATCATCAATACCACTACAAGCACTACCACAATCATCAATACCACTACAAGCACTACCACCAAAATCATCAATACCACCACAACCACCATCAGAATCATTATTACCACCACAACTACTGCCAAAATCATCAATACCAAAACAACCACCACCACAATCATGCATACCACCCCAACCACCACCACAATCATGAATACCACCACAAAACCACAACCAAAATCATCAATACCACCACAACCACCGCCACAATCATCAATACCCCAAAATCACCGCCACAATCATCAATACCAACACAACCACCATAACAATCATCAATGTCAACACAACCACCACCACAATTATCGATACCACCACAACAACCGCCACCACAATCATCGATACCACCGCAACCACCAGCACAATTATAAATACCACCACAACCACCATCACAATCATCGATACCAGTACAATTACCGACACCCTAATCATCAATACCACCACAACCACTAGCACATTTATCAAAACCACCACAACCACCAGCACAATTATAAATACCACCACAACCACCATCACAATCATCGATACCAGTACAATTACCGACACCCTAATCATCAATACCACCACAACCACTAGCACATTTATCAAAACCACCACAACCACCAGCACAATTATAAATACCACCACAACCACAATCACAATCATCAATACCACCACAACCACCACCACAACCATCAATACCACCACAACCACAATCATCAATACCACCACAACCACTACAATCATCAATACCAACACAACCACCCTCACCATCATCAATACCACCACAACCACTACCACAATCATTTATACCACCACAAACACAATCATCAATACCACCACAACCACCAGCACAATTATCAATACCACGATAACCACCACTACAATCATCAATACCACCACAACCACAATCATCAATACCAATACCACCACTGCATTTATCAATACCACCACAACCACCATCACAATCATCAATACCACCACAACCACCACCACAATCATCAATACTACCACAACCACCACCACAATCATCAATACCAGCAATACCACCACCACAATCATCAATACTACCACAACTACCACCACAATCATCAATGCTACCACAACCACCACCACAATCATCAATACCACCACAACCACCATCACAATCATCAATTCCACCACAACCACCACAATCATCAATACCAACAATACCACCACCACAATCATCAATACTGTCACAACCACCATCACAATCATCAATACCACCACAACCACCCCCACAATTATCAATACTACCACAATCACCACCACATTCATCAATACCAGCAATACCACCATCACAATCATCAATACCAGCAATACCACTACCATTATTACTACCACCACATTTCCGTCATCATCAATACCACCATCATCATCATTGTTAACACCAACACTATCATCATAGTCTCTAAGGTATCTGTGGTGATTAAATACACGGTTTTCAGTGCAATATTTTACCACTAATTTATGACGTGTCTGTTGAACGCAATGAATGCAATGTAACGCCAACCCGATCTTTACTGGCGGTATATTTTAACGTGTAATGTAGCTTCACTTGCTTGACAGTACTTTGGGATGAGAACAACGTATGGAAGGTGCTCACTTTCTGGCGCCCTCAAGAACATTTCAGCGCACTGTGGGTGTAAGTACTAGACACTGGCAGCAGATCGCATAGTAATCAACACTATGTGTCAATACATCATTGACACACGTTAATTGCGTAAAGTAAAGTAAAGATCCCTTTTCACGCTCTTAGGCGCATCGGGCATATGGGAAGAGCACCCATATTTTTACAGACCAATTGGTACTAGGTGGGTAATGTGGTCAGCATTACGCCAGCCATTTTTACCTTCCCAGGACAGCCACCCTCCTGGTACCCATTTTAGGCTGGGTCGACCTGCGACGGCCCATACCATGATAAAACTCCACGCAGCCCGCAGTGGGGTTCGATCGCGGCACGTTGGCATTTTGTAGGACTCGCAACGCCTAAGCCACGGACACCGCTTTTTAAATAGGTTGTTCCAAGTAGTACCCCACTAGGACATCACACAAGCGATAAACACCCGATGACACAAAGTGCCACCATGTGGATGAGAATAACCCGTGGAGAGGTCCCGGAAACCGCGTTCATTCATCAGGCCATATTTATGGCCGTTCTATTTTGCGGCCCCTGGCAAGAGCCGGGAGGAGGGGGGGGGGGGGGTGGCATCAAAATAATGGAAAATTGCATCCGACAAGGGGATAACTAGAGTTAATTGCGTGCAACTAATTAACGTATATAAATAACAGCAAAACGTTAAGGACAAGGCACAACTAATGTCGCGTGTATACAGAAGTAATGGAGAAGAGAAAGACTTGCAAGGAATGCCTTATTAGGCATATGGATGTGGCAGGCAAAACACTGACGAGATTTGGAG